ATACTAAACTACTAAACAGCAGAATGCTGGCAAAACTGAAAACAATATAACAAAAGTGAGTTTTTGTAAATAAAAATAAAGTGTTTTTACAGAAATCACGAATGAAATAGGTGAGATGTAATAAAATATTTGACTTTAAATGTAATTGTTTATCTTTAAAATTAGAAAAATATCAATTGGCGAACAGTGCGGCCATCCATATTCGAGGGATGGTTGCATCAATATAGCTACCAGGCTCTTTTGGTGGCTCGTGTTAGAATTGTTTATCAAGTAATAAATCAAATACGAATAATTTTTTTAAGCTCTAACTATGAACAAATCGGACATAAAAGTCTCTTTTTTTGATCTTGTTCTACTTGGTTTAGCCCGAAATAAATCAATTATATATATTTTTATATAATAATATATATTATATTTATTGTTGAGAAAATTAGGGCGAAGAAAAACAGTAATCGACACAAATCCAAGTGGTCATGTGATTTTGTATATATAAGTCAGATAATGACATCTATATATAAGTTTAAATCATAACAACTCAAGTGGTCATGTGATTTTGATTATTCTGATGCATAAATTTGATGTAGATTTGCATAAAACACTATACTTCTATTTTTTTCTAATTAACTTAAAGGAACCAATTTGAAGTCGAACACAAATATGATATGTAAATAGAGTAGAAAATAGACACATTATTCACGAGCAATTGCGAACACGAGCTAATATCGAACATAAGCTAAATTTTAAGGAGTCGAACACTAGCCAATCTTAAGCTCTTTGAAGACAACCGCCTTCATCAACAAACCTTCGAGACACAGTCGCCATCAGAGCTAGCTGGGAAGGCAACGATGGAACGTGGCTTATAGAGAACACCGAAACTTCCGTATCTATCATCCTTCCGTTTTGCTCCAATCATAAAACATTGAGGAATGTAATTTTATTTGCGTCAGCCTTTTCATTTTAATTTTTGAAAAGTGAAATGAGTATTTCATAGGCAATGTTTAGGCTTTAATTATGTATGAAAATCTTTGTGATGCATGTGCTATCAAAGTGCATAGGAAATGTGGTGTGCATGTAAAAATTGAAGCTTAAGTATTATGTATGCATATATATATAAGAGTTTAGTGGCATGCATGAAAATATACATGAATAGATAATGTGGTATATATATAAAAATTGAAGTTTAAGTGTTAGGTATGTATATAGATAAGAATTGAGTGCTGTGTATGAATATCTTCATAAAAAATAAAATTTGTGGGTTAGGCATGTATATACATAAAAATTGAGTGGTATGTATAAAATCTTCATAAAAATTGAAGCTTAGGTGTTAGCTATGTAAATATATAAATATTGAGTAGTTTGTTTTTACTTGTTACTATAATTCAAACCGATGGTGATGTAGATGGGGTTGTTATTAGTATAATTCTTCATGTATATTATTTAAAAAACCATGTAGTGTCGACTTTTTAGTGTAAGTAATTACTAATTTTTATTTTGCATAATAGTTGCACTGATATGTAAAACTATCTCTATGCTGCAAATGGATATTCATAATTTGAGGGCTTGAATATATAAATCCAGAATGAAAATAACTCGCATGAGTTCTTGAATGACATTGAGGAATTCATGCAGGTAACATCACAACTACCCATCTACCGTTTGGAGGGTAAGTTTTTGTATCCTTATGTAAAACAAAAAAAAAAATTAAGCATTTCTGCCACCCAAAGAAGTTAAATATTTACTGCAAGAGATTCAAACCTAATTTTTTCTACTGGACTGCACGTGGTAAGTAAGAACCCGATGTTCAGTTCAAGCAATGACGCGCCTCGACAAGTTATGCCCCTCATGTAAGAGAATTTGATCCTGAAGCATTTGAATAAATGGTTCAAGATGCTCAGAGAGTTTAATTCGTTGAAAGCATTCAACACGAACCTTAAACACTAAACAATGAATCACCAAATTTCTATGACTCATATCTTCCGACAAAACAATTCCATGATCTTTTTTTTTTGGCGGATATAATTTATCAAGATAGTCCCCTAATTGGGATATTTGAACGAATTTTAGGTAATTGTTTTGCAAAATTTCCTTCACACCCAACTTCTTTTTATTGTGTTGTGAAGATCACTTGATGATGTTATTTAGCGCCATGGAATTGACAACTTGTCATGCTTTTCTAAGTATATGTTATATTAAAATTACTAAATTTAATAATTAATACGTTGAATACTAAATATAAATTAATTTGCTTGAAATTAGTTCAATGGTTAAAACTGCATCTTAACCTAATGCAAATTAAGATTAGGATCGCGTTAATCATTAAAATAATGATATTTTTCAATTTGATTATCTATACCAATCATCGATTAACTAGCAATCGATTTTAAGTTGTTATAAAGAGCTTTACTCTGATGTTGATCATACAACTTGTACACGCCCTTGATAATGATATAAATCTACCTATTTCTCAATTGAAGTAGTAAACCCGTATTAGAAATTATTATTTTTCTTGCTCGCCTGCCTACCACCGCTGGTCGCCTTGCCCGCCCCTTATGATGCTGGCGTTGGCCACCGACGCTCGTTGTCGTCGCGAGACGCCAACTGCAAATAATACCTTATATATTTTAAATTATATTTTTTTCAACCTACTTCGAATCAAACAAAAATTATAAAGTCTTATATTTATTTTATTATAGTGAACCAAACATCTTTAAAAATATTTCAAATTCAATATATTATATTATATTATATTCATTGTACACTATTATTTTTTTAGCAAATTAAACAATCCCTCGTCGGGTTATATTTAGAAATAGAATTAATTAAAATCCAGCTAATCAAGAAAAAAATAATTTTTCACAATGTATCATTTTTTATCGTATTTTACCTCTATTACGACATAAATATGAATTTAATAAATTCAAATATGAAATTATGGGTTTGTTTGGGGCAGCTGCAACTTATCCAACTTATCCAGATAAACAGCTTATTCTGATGAGTTACTGATCAGTGGCTGAATCGGATAAGCTGAATATTTGTTAAGTTTGTAAGTCTTAAAAACAGTTGATTTCAACTGTTTTTAAATAAATAACTATTATGTCTCTGTGCAGTGGTGTTGTTTGTGACAACACCCTCATAACTATACCAAAAATTTAATCAGAAACATTAATCTCAAACCCCAAGGATTCACCTATTTGTCTATTGCCTTCAGGTCTAATTGTCCAAGTTAGATCAACTTCATCACCAATCTCAAAAGCATCCAATGGCCGAATTCAGACCATAAGTAATACTCATCTCAAATATCAAAGCTTTCATCTATTCTTTTGTTGCCCTAAGATTATGATTGTTGAATTCCAATTTTGAAGAGGTTTATTGATCCTAATCTTTTTTCATTACCGTCTCCTTCCAAGTTTCGACCCCTTTCATGAAAGCCTTGGTTAATGTTTCTGCAACAGAACATTGCTGAATTCTTGAAAAATCTGAATCAAGTCCATTTCGTTAGATTTGAGAAGCAGATTTACCATTAAACAATATAATAAGGAGAACAGTCACCATCCAATCAGCAAATAGAACATTGAAGGCAACTCCAATGCTAATTCCATAAATAAGCCTCGGCTGAAACAGAAGAGCGAAATGATAGTCGATGATGGGCATATCTATGGTCGGATGACGAAGCTTGAGATTATAGTATACAGTTGATCCTGCTGCTCCCATGATCATAGCTGCCCAAATAGTTCGCAGCTATATGCATTTGAAATTCACAAAACAAAATAAGACGAATTAAACAATCAAACATTTCTGAGATTCCATTCAACAAAGATATAACAAAGCTAGGACTTTACAGATTCCATGAGCTACTGATTTTGTATTTTAATTGATTATCAGGAAAAGATTTGGCTTGAAAATGAAAAATTTATGCAGGTTTCAAGTGCTGCAGCAAACTTTGCCATGGCATTCTCCCCTTCTATGTCTGTTGTAGAGTACCATCTCCTCAAGCGATTCCTAGTCCCATATGGTATTTTAATCATCACACATATATAATCCAATGCACTTGTAATCATATCAAAAAAAAAAAAAAAAAAAAAGGGTTGCAAACATGATCACTCAGAGTATCCTTGGGCTAAGTTAAGTTCTTCGAAACTCTATGCATCTAAACACATCGTGCATGTCAACAGAACTTGATAGTTTCTTTCTCTGTAAATTTATGTGCAGGAATACAGATACACTGTAACCTGCTCAAAATTGTACTGGCTCTTGAATTTGCTACAGGTGCAATGCCAATGCCTTCATTCTACTACATTGAGGAATTATAAATTCTAATTTTTTAAAATCAAGGAATCACAAAATTCATATAGGTCCCAGTCTCTGTAGGGGTGACTTTATATGAAGCCATTAGCTTGTACAAAGGAAGGAGAGTAATTGCTTCGAAAGGAGCCGAAGGAGCAGATTGGAAACCAATCAAGCTCTTCAGGTACTGCCTAGTTGCCATTCTTGCCGGTGTGGTTGGTGGACTGCTTGGTCTTGGTGGAGGATGCGGGCGATGCGGGTAGAAGACGCTGGCTGCAGGGTCTATCCGGCTGCCGCTCTTATTGAAGGAATGAAACGTAGTTTTCCATTAAGCGCTCCAATAACACGAAACAAACACTACGGTGGTATTTTGAAAACGCCGTCCGCATTTATACGTTGCCCCAAACGGGAGCGCTATTTACGTACTGAGATACTTATTCTCCCAAAGAACTTTCCAATAACTCAATTATTAGGGGTTAATGAGAGGTTATTGGAGTATAACGTACATTCCCAGATTCCGCACTCATACTTGTTGCTGTTATTTTGATACCTCTCGAATAACCTCTACTCGGTACTTAAATATTTTTTCCGCCCTATTTTAAAAAGAGTAAATCTGTTGTCTATCTTCGTGGCAGGATTTTTTGGAATTATTAATTCATATTTAATTGGTTGCCGCCAAACACCAGGCTTAAGTCCGACCAAGAGGCTCACTTGACCCACTCGCGAGTCAAAATTGACGCGCGTACCTCCAGGCGGGAAACTCTTCCTCTCTTCCCAGAATTCATTAATACCTTGCCGCCGAGCCTCACATGCGGGATGAAACCCTAAACCCATGGCCCCGAGGAAGAAGCCTTCTTCCTCCTCAACAAGAAAATCGAACTTAAGCCGCCAGCAACCCCCATCTTCCAAGTATGGCATCCAGCATTTCTTCGAGCGGCACTCACAAACGCAGGCGGTTTCTACTTCTCCCTGCCCACCCGAACTGCCCAAACCCGACCTAAACTCTAACCCTAAAACCAGTCCAAAACCTAGCCCCAATGCCGATCCCTGTCCCAACGGTAGCGAGCCATTGCCCGCAGTTCTACCGCAACAGGACGCCGAGGCCAACAGCGAAAAGAAGTCATCACCGATTTCTCCGGAGTTCATCAAGAATGCCCCTTTTAAGCGTTTCAAGTTTTCCCCGGTATTGGTTATACTATTAGCTTCTTAAGTACTATTTTAATATCTCATGTTTTGATCCTCTGGAATCTGAATTAAAAAATCGTATTTCTTTGACGCACAGTTGATAAAGCAGAGCCAAGATGATGGTGGAGACGAGATCTCATGGAAAATCTCTCCTTTAAATCAACGATTTAGGCCGTTTAATGCGAATAAGTTACCGAGGACAATGAGCATTCTTGCAGATCAACCCAGACCGATTGGCTCATTTATCCATCCCTGCTTGCAGCAGCAGGTGAGGATCTTATTATCGTTGCTTCTATCTTCTTAGACAACTTTAATAAATGATTCAGCATGATTTATTTGTCAAACTGTAGAATTATTCTTGTACTTCCGCTGCAAGCTTCCAGAAGTGGCTCTCTTCTCCAAGCGCAAAGGATACTGGTGAATCTTTTTCTTCCTCTAGATTGTTATCAGCTGAGCAAGATACTGAGCCGTGCATTGGTAATGAGAGCGCTTGTATGGAGTCGTCAAGTAAAGTGTTTCAGACTCCTCCCTCTTCTTCTTGCGATGACAGCAAGGTACAATTCATGCTTTTTTAGGCAATCTGTATGTACATTTTGGCAGTTCCTATAAATTGACCATGATCTATGAATCATGGCGATGGTGTTGTTAATATTCACCATGATTTAGTATGTGCACGTGCTTATATGGTTACAGGGTACTGTTGTTGTGGTCAGTAAGGACGACTCACATGAGCTGGGTTTTGGGCTACACCACAAGGTTGGTGCATGCCATTCTACATGTTTTATGGCCTATTACTGTTTGCTTGGGTGTGAAATATATTTTTGCTGCTTTTTTACTTTTTGCATTTTCAGACATTTCTTGAACTTTTAGATCAAGTTGGAGATGTGGTTATTGATAAAGCAGTACCGACCAACATAACGCAAAACCATTACTCTGGTAATCCCAGTTGCCGGACTAAAAAAAATTGTAATTTGAAAGGAAAAAAAGCCGCAGTTACTGCATCACAAAAGATTAACGGCTCTATAAACGATGATGTATTTCTTGTTTTAGAGGTTTGATTACTTTCCGCATTACGAAGAAAGCTCATGTTGCTCTCTGCTGTTTGTCATCTTACCTGCAACCTGAAATGCCTTAGGTTTCTGAAAAGTGCAGGACTGCTGATTCTTCACATGTTCTTAATCCTTACAAGGTGCCACTTGGAAAGCTCATTTTATGTAACTTATTTTCTGAAACGTGCAAGGTTTAACTGATTTGTGGGATATTTGTTGTTTCTGGCTTTCAGGTCCTTCGTTTGCTTCATGAACTTACTGGTGAAGAGAGGGCGCTATATTTATGTGATGAATGGTTGGTATGAGTTCCATTTGGGCTAATATTGCCAAATGAAGCTTGTTTTATTCTATAAAATAGATCAAATTTTGTTTTTATCTCCAAATTTACTTTGGTCATGTCCACTTCTCATGCCGATAATTATGTAATGTGTTGTGGTATATATATTAAAGAACGATTGACGACGAAGTGAAAAATAGAATGAGAAAAAAATTACAAAACGGCAGCACAGAGGAACACACAGATTTACGTGGTTCGACAAATTGCCAACGTCCACAAAATTATGAAGAAGCAATGTTGAGAACGACTGCATGCACTGCACTTCAAAATCAAATTTTCTGCACTTTAATGGCGGCGAGATCCACCTTTCTTATTATCAAAGTGATGAGGCGGGAATAGATAAAGAGGCCAAAATAGAAGCGGGAATAGACAAATTGCCAACTTTCACAAAATAAAATTCAAAGAAAAGTATAGAAACAATGTATAGAGAGAAGCGTGAACAGTTAATTTGCTTTTTTTTTTTCGTTTTTACCCGGCTCAAACCCAACAAATATCCCACTTGGAGACTGTACACAAACATCATCGTTCTTCCTCAAATTGATATCCTTCAATGACGGTGTCTCCTTTTTTTTCAAACGTGTTATCACCCACCCCTGCAACACAAGACTCTTGTATTCAAGCTTGAAGATCAATTGAAATTGCGCACAACTTCAGTTTTCCAAGAGTAACACCTTTAGTCAACATATTAGCAGGATTGTTGCTTCCACAAATTTTCTCAAGCAATAACTGTCCGTCATCCAACAATAATCGTATGAAGTGATATATGATCTGAATTTGTTTGGTCATGGATTGAAATGCTGGATTCCTGGTAAGGAATATGACGCTTTGACTATCACTATAAAGAATGCCCTTCGATTCTTCTTGATCAATTCTTCCAAGAAGCCTTGCAGCCTTATCATCTCTTTTGCAGCCTTTGACGCTGCTATATACTCAACTTTTGTAGTTGACAACAAAACTGTCTTCTGCAGATTAAAGCTCCATGACACTGCTGTGTCACCAAGAGTATAAATATATCCCGTAGTACTTCTCTGGTATCAATGTCTCCAGCTAGATCAACATCAACATTGTCCTGTACCTTTGAACTCTTTCCTGAGAAACACAAACAAGTTTCTGAAGAGCCTCTTAGGTACCTCAAGATCCATTTCACCGCTTCTTAATATTTTTTTCCAGGATTACTCGTGTCTCTGCTAACAACTCTTACTACATGGGCAATATCCAATTTGGTGCAAATCATAACATACATAAGTGAATTAATAGCTAAAGTATAAAGAACCTTACTCATGTGGTCTAGTTCCTCCTCTGACTAAGGTAAGTGATTCTTGTTGAGTCTGAAGTGACTGCTTAAGGGCGTGCCAACTGATTTGATCTTATTCGTATTGAACCAGCTAAGTATCTTTTTCATATTCTCAGCCTGAGAGAGTTTCAATATGCCTCTAACTCTATCTCTGACAAATTTCATGCCAAAGATTTGTTTTGAGCTCCTAAATATTTTCTTGCAAAGTGCTATGACATCTGCTCTTTCAGATTATTAGTCCCATCAATACTAACCCCTGTAATAAACATATTATCTACATGCAGCAGTAGAATGATATGAAATTGTCAAAACACATAACATAACAACAATGATATGCCTGACATCTGCTGTACTATGCACTATGCATGAAATTATCAAATCTCTTATACCAGTGTCTAGGAGCTTGCTTCAGGCCATACAAGTTTTTTTTCATTCTGCAAATTGAGAATTTCTTTCCCTGTATCACTAGCCTTTCAGGTTGGTGTATATAGATGTCTTTTTCAAGATCTTTATGAAGAAAAACTGTCTTTTCTAATTGGTCAAGGAAGAGATTTTCAGTAGCCACCATAGACATTATCATTCTGATGGCTGTAAGCTTCACCACAGGAGAAACTTGGAAAGCTCATTTTATGTAACTTATTTTCTGAAACGTGCAAGGTTTAACTGATTTGTGGGATATTTGTTGTTTCTGGCTTTCAGGTCCTTCGTTTGCTTCATGAACTTACTGGTGAAGAGAGGGCGCTATATTTATGTGATGAATGGTTGGTATGAGTTCCATTTGGGCTAATATTGCCAAATGAAGCTTGTTTTATTCTATAAAATAGATCAAATTTTGTTTTTATCTCCAAATTTACTTTGGTCATGTCCACTTCTCATGCCGATAATTATGTAATGTGTTGTGGTATATATATTAAAGAACGATTGACGACGAAGTGAAAAATAGAATGAGAAAAAAATTACAAAACGGCAGCACAGAGGAACACACAGATTTACGTGGTTCGACAAATTGCCAACGTCCACAAAATTATGAAGAAGCAATGTTGAGAACGACTGCATGCACTGCACTTCAAAATCAAATTTTCTGCACTTTAATGGCGGCGAGATCCACCTTTCTTATTATCAAAGTGATGAGGCGGGAATAGATAAAGAGGCCAAAATAGAAGCGGGAATAGACAAATTGCCAACTTTCACAAAATAAAATTCAAAGAAAAGTATAGAAACAATGTATAGAGAGAAGCGTGAACAGTTAATTTGCTTTTTTTTTTTCGTTTTTACCCGGCTCAAACCCAACAAATATCCCACTTGGAGACTGTACACAAACATCATCGTTCTTCCTCAAATTGATATCCTTCAATGACGGTGTCTCCTTTTTTTTCAAACGTGTTATCACCCACCCCTGCAACACAAGACTCTTGTATTCAAGCTTGAAGATCAATTGAAATTGCGCACAACTTCAGTTTTCCAAGAGTAACACCTTTAGTCAACATATTAGCAGGATTGTTGCTTCCACAAATTTTCTCAAGCAATAACTGTCCGTCATCCAACAATAATCGTATGAAGTGATATATGATCTGAATTTGTTTGGTCATGGATTGAAATGCTGGATTCCTGGTAAGGAATATGACGCTTTGACTATCACTATAAAGAATGCCCTTCGATTCTTCTTGATCAATTCTTCCAAGAAGCCTTGCAGCCTTATCATCTCTTTTGCAGCCTTTGACGCTGCTATATACTCAACTTTTGTAGTTGACAACAAAACTGTCTTCTGCAGATTAAAGCTCCATGACACTGCTGTGTCACCAAGAGTATAAATATATCCCGTAGTACTTCTCTGGTATCAATGTCTCCAGCTAGATCAACATCAACATTGTCCTGTACCTTTGAACTCTTTCCTGAGAAACACAAACAAGTTTCTGAAGAGCCTCTTAGGTACCTCAAGATCCATTTCACCGCTTCTTAATATTTTTTTCCAGGATTACTCGTGTCTCTGCTAACAACTCTTACTACATGGGCAATATCCAATTTGGTGCAAATCATAACATACATAAGTGAATTAATAGCTAAAGTATAAAGAACCTTACTCATGTGGTCTAGTTCCTCCTCTGACTAAGGTAAGTGATTCTTGTTGAGTCTGAAGTGACTGCTTAAGGGCGTGCCAACTGATTTGATCTTATTCGTATTGAACCAGCTAAGTATCTTTTTCATATTCTCAGCCTGAGAGAGTTTCAATATGCCTCTAACTCTATCTCTGACAAATTTCATGCCAAAGATTTGTTTTGAGCTCCTAAATATTTTCTTGCAAAGTGCTATGACATCTGCTCTTTCAGATTATTAGTCCCATCAATACTAACCCCTGTAATAAACATATTATCTACATGCAGCAGTAGAATGATATGAAATTGTCAAAACACATAACATAACAACAATGATATGCCTGACATCTGCTGTACTATGCACTATGCATGAAATTATCAAATCTCTTATACCAGTGTCTAGGAGCTTGCTTCAGGCCATACAAGTTTTTTTTCATTCTGCAAATTGAGAATTTCTTTCCCTGTATCACTAGCCTTTCAGGTTGGTGTATATAGATGTCTTTTTCAAGATCTTTATGAAGAAAAACTGTCTTTTCTAATTGGTCAAGGAAGAGATTTTCAGTAGCCACCATAGACATTATCATTCTGATGGCTGTAAGCTTCACCACAGGAGAAAAAATCTCGGAATAATCAATACCATGCTTCTGCTGAAATTTTTATACAACAAGTAGCATTGTATCTCTTACTGCTATCATGCTCAGTCTTCACCTAGTACACCCACTTGTTGTGCAATGCCTTCTTCAGTAGTGGAAGATCTGCCAACTCTCAAGTCTGATTTACTGTCAGAGAATCCATCTCCTCCTTCATGACAAGCTCCCACTTGCTCGAATTTTCATTTTATAGGATTTTTTTATAACTCTGAGGTTTTCCATCATCTGTCAGCATGATATAGTTTAAAGTTAGAGAGTTTTGCTGTGGAGAACGTCTAGTTCTTTCTAACTTGTGAACTGCAACTGTATGAGTAAACTGTTCAGAAACTGTGGAACAATAGAAATGGGTGCCTGCATCTCTGTTATATACTGGGATCTCTGGTTAATCATCAAATCTTATCAATTCAGATTTTTGCAGTGCTGTTTCAAAAATTGTACTGGACTTATCCTTGTACATAACTTTCTCATTGAAAATCACGTTCCTGTTCTTTATGATCTTTCAACCCTGATCATCCCAGAAACGATATCCAAATGCTTCATCTCCATTGCCAATGAAATAACACTTCTTTGACTTAGTCTTAAGCTTATTTCAAACATCAGAATTAATTAGAACATAATAAATATATCTAAAGGTTTTAAGGTTAGAAAATTTGTTATCTTTTCCACACCAACCTCAGGTAATTCACAGTTTAATGGAATAGATGGGTCTCTATTGATCAGATAAATTGCAGTGCTGATTGCTTCTGCCTAGAAAGTAGGTGGTAGTCCATCGTGCAATCTCATGCTTCTAGCCTGTTCATTAATGATCCTGTTCATGTGCTCTGTAACATCATTTTGCTGCGGCGTCCCTAAAATATTCTTCTCCATTCTGATGCCCTGAGCTGCACACTACTCTTTGAACCTTCAATCAATGTACTCACCACCATTATTAGACCTTAGACATTTCAGCTTTAAGACTGTCTCTGTCTCAACCACGAACTTCCAAATTTTGAACACTGAATATATCAGTTTTATGCTTTAAGAAATAAACTTATATCTTTCTGCTATGATCATCAATAAATATAACATTATAACGAGAGCCTCTAAGAGATGCTACTGGAGAAGGTCCTACACATCTGTGTGTACAAGATCTAGTTTTTCTGTCTTTGGCGTTCTGCCACTTTTCAAGAAACTGACATTTCTCTGTTTTCGTATAATGTAACTTTCACACATGCTGAGATCAACAGACTTTAGTTTTGGTAGTTTGTCTCTGGACTGAAGTTCTTTCATACCCTTCTAACTCATGTGGCCAAGTCTGCAATGTCACAACTCTGCTGTGCTCTCTGCAATAGTAGTATCAATACTGTTAATTAAACAAGTAGTCATATATAATGTACCTGCTTTTTTTACCCCGAACCAGTACTAATACTCCTTTAGTAATCTTCTAGGTGTTATCTGATAACACTATTGAATGTCCACACTCATCAAGTTGCCCAACAGAAATGAGTTTATTTTTTAGTTCAGGAATGTGTTTGATCTTTTGCAGAATTCACTTGTTCTTGTTTGGAAATGCAATATTAATATCTTCCATTCTTACCACATTTAAAGCTTTTTCATCTTTCAGATATTCTTTTCCAAAATCACTTGCAACATAATTTTGCATCAATTCCCGATAGAAAGTTGTATGAAAAGTAATCCCTGAATTCAATATTCAATCATCAATAAAACTATGAACTGCCAGCAGTAGTGCATCATATGCTTCTTCAGTCACCACATTTGCGTGTATTCTTGAGATTTCTGCAGTTCCTCTTTATGTGACCAGTTTTGTTACAATTCCAGCAAGTTGCTTTCTGGCCAAACCTTGACTTGCTCTTGCCTCTGTGTTTTGATTTTGATATTCCTCTGTTTGAGTTTCTGTCATGTAATCTCCCTATTGAATCAAGATTTAATGTTGAACTCAAACCTAAGGTCTCGTTAGAATCTTTCCTGCGCACCTCTTCAGTCAAAATTAAATCACGAATATCATCACATTTCAGTTTAGATTTACCTGCAAAATTATTGATAACCATCCTCATAGCTTCTCAACTATTTGACAAAGAAATCAATAATATTAGTGCACGTATCTTATTATTAAATTCAATTTTCACAGATGATAATTGATTTGTGATAGTATTAAAATCATTCAAGTGTTGTAAAACAGACGTACCTTCCGTCATTTTCAAATTGAATAACTTTTTCATCAGATATACATTGTTATTCGCTGATAACTTTTGATTCATGCCTTACAGGACTGACATGAGATCTCCAGAACTTGTTCATCCAACAAATTTCATTTAGCTTTATCCATCAATTCTAGTATTTTCCCTATTAACGGAAGATGAAGTTTTTTCCCATAGAGGTAGTCTTTTATCTGCATCCTCCAGTAAACAAAATCTGTATCATCAAATTTCTCGATCCCTGAAACTTTCTCTTCATCTGCAACCATCATTCTTTTCTTAGATTTGAACCACGTCTCTGTTACCAGTTATTGTAGATTATTTATAAAAGAACGATCGATGAAGTGAAAAATTGAACGAGAAAAAATTCACAAAACAGTAACATAACGAAACATACAGTTTTACGTGGTTAGGCAAATTGCCTACGTCCACGGAGTTGAAGAAATTTTTATTACTTAAAGAATTTACTTCATCGATCACGTTGAATTTTCAAGAAAGAACTCTCTCGCTCTATCCTCTCCTTTCTCTCTCTACTCGAGGTCCACACTGAAAAAGAAAAAGAAACGGGGAAGACAAGCCTTGCGATGCCTTTGAGTTTGGTTGACAGAGAGAGTAGCGAAAATACCAATTTTCGATCTGCAAGGAGTTCCACCTTTTGTATTTCTCGTAAGCTAACCTTACGAAATCGTGAAGAAGCAATGTGGAGAACGACTGAATGCACTACACTTCAAAACCAATTTTTCTGCACTTTAATGGTGGCTGGACCGACCTTTCTTGCTCTCAAAGTGAAGAGGCCGGAGTAGATAAAAAGGAGGCAGGGAATAAAATTCAAAGAAAAGTATAGAAGCAACGTATGGACAGAAGCGGGAATAGTTAATTTGCCTTTTTTTTTTTTCAATTTTACCGGGCTCTACTTCAACACAATGCTTTTTGCTATCATCTCTTTAGTGGCCTTGTCCATTTAATAAAAAAGCATATTTTCAATCTTGACGCCATAACCTCTTAGTTTTGTTTTTGATTCAAAACGCTAGCTATAGGAATCCACTTTTATCTTTTTTCACTTGAGAAGCAAGATCCCTTAATTTTTCCGGGCTTTTTTGAATTTTCGTTACATGAATGTGTGTTGATTTCAAAATAACTTTGGCAAGCACCAGACAAGCTTATGTTCTTTTTTGATCCTATATTCATGTCTCTTGAATAATAACGTTGATTCTTTTCATGTATTGAAGTTAATTAATTCATTTATTATGTCCTCTAAGAAGTTTATTTTGTTTAGTGTCTTGTTTTTCCATAAAGCTTGTTTGGCTTGAGTGATAAAGGAATATATCATAATGATTCAATTTGATCATGGCATATGATTCCAAGCGCATTTGGTTTGTAATAATATTTTGTTAAATGTATTGTTCTATTTCCCCCTGTTATGGGACATTTAAATGCATGATGTGTTAGATATGACTCATATGCTAGATAAGGGACAGATGCTAGAGCGAAAAAGAGCAAGCCAGCGGAGCGGAAGCATCTGTCAAATCGGGGGTAGTTCGTTTTGTGGGTTGGGGGTGCGAGAGCAACGACCTCGCGGTACAGTACAACGGTAATTTTGTAATTACATATTGTTCACTAGGGTTATATATATGTTGTATTGTAACCTTAAGGAGATCTTGTACTTTTTTCTGAATTGAAAGAAAAGCCGCCTGTCACGCTTTACGATATTCTAGAAAATGGCAAGACCCTCATGGGATTAAAAGTTCTTGAGAGTGCTAGAAAATAGAGAAGCATCTAAGGGACTGTAGAAGATTTCACCATATTCCGGAGAATGCTAGAAGGGAAAACTCCAAGTAAAAATCAAGAGAAACTTAGAAAGTTCTAGGGTAATGTATGTACATAAGAGAGAAGTGTAGAACTCTTTGGAAATTAGAATAATCTAATGCATTCTAGAATGTTTCATTTGGCTTGGAGGGCCCTATAAATAGGAGCCCCTCCCCTCGTTTGTAATCATCTAAGCACTCAATCAAAGCTTCTATGTATTTAAGTGTGAAGTGTTTCTTTCTCTCAACTCTTCTTCTTAAGAGTGTTTTGTGCTCACGAGTCTAATTGTTGTGAAGATTAGGTTGATTTAGTGCTAAAGGAGAACACTAAAGCTGCACGGGTGACTTAGAGAAAGTTTGTCCGTGATAGTTGATATCAGAGTCTCGGTTTTGAATGAATGACAAAAAGCATCAAAGAGCACGTGATTGAATCGGAAGCCACTAATGTTGGAGGCAAGAGATAAGCCGTCAGCCAGGAAGACGTGTTGCATGACACCACTCTCCCATAACACCAAGGAGAAACCAAAGTTTGCCAAGTCTGAGGGCAAATCGAGAAGTCAGTTCTGTAGGTGCAGGGGAAGCAAAAATGAAGGCATTACGGGTTTAAGTGTAGGAGAGTCACGCTCCGTCATATTCTAGAAAGTGTCAAGACTCTCATGGGATGGAAAGTTCTAAAGAGCGTCAGAAAATATAGAAGCATTCAAAGGACTCTAGAAGATTCCACCATATTCCGGAGAATGCTAGAAGGGAAAGATCCAAGAAAAAATCATGAGTAACTTAGAAAGTTCTAGGGTAATGTATGTACATAAGAGAGAAGTGTAGAACTCTCTAGAAATTAGAATAATCCAATGCATTCTAGAATGCTCCATTAGGCTTGGAGGGGGCTATAAATATGAGCTCCTCCCCTCATTTGTAATCATATAGGCACTCAATCAATGCTTCCAAGAATTCAAGTGTGAAGTGTTTCTTTCTTTCAACTCTTCTTCTTAAGAGTGTTTTGTGCTCACAAGTCTAAGTGTTGTGAGGATTAGACTGGTTTAGTGCTAAGGAGAGCGTTAAAGCCGCACATGTGATTTGGAGAAAGATCCGTGACACGCCGCTTTGCTCTCGAGGATGTAGGCATCTTTGCTGAACCTCGTTAAATCTCTCTGTTTCTTTCTGGATTTGAGTCGATTCTTGCGTTTTCTTTGCCCTAAAATTCTCAACATGATGATTGACATCATTTTAGGCTTTAAAATTAGTTCAGACCGTGCTTGCATGCCCTTCATGATTTTGTTGTTATCGCATCATTTTAATTTTATCAATTTGATTGGGATGAGTTGTCATCGTTTATTTACTTTTTTGTTGGTACATCAACTGCTATACTTAGCATACCCCATCTCTTCGCAGGTTTTACAGCATAATTGGACCCGGGGATACTGTGAGTGTTGTTGGCAAATTTGACGAGGAAGGAAAATGCATTGTTAACCACAGTGACAATCTCGCTATAGTTTTTCCTGATATACTCATGTCTGGGACTAGGGTAAGTGTCTTCATGTTAGCAAGTTTTTCATATGTTTACTTGTTCATTTTGTTTTTTATTTTGACGCTGATGACATGTGGGTGTTCCTTTTTTTTGTTTTTCTTTTCATCTTCATTTTTTGTTTCAAATTTTGGAACCATAGTTTAATGTTTGGAGAAGGAAAACAGTCTTCATTTTCTATGGTTATTGACCTGCTAGCATTTAGGTTGCCTCTAGTTTCAGTTGTCCACGACGCGCTGTTCTCGACGAGAGACTAAGAGCCAGTGAATATTCTTCTCCGGCTTTAGTTGGTACCATGCTTCATCAGATCTTTCAGGTTCACTTCTATAAAATTTTGCACAACTTGATGAATAGAAATAGGTGGTCAGTGATTTTCAGTGTGAAAACTTACTTTTATGTGCTCAAATTTTTTTATATTCTCTTAGGCTGGGCTTCTCAAGGATTCACCAACCAGGAATTTTTTGGAGGAGTGTGCTATCATCACACTGCAAAAAAACATTGAGAACTTGTATGCTTGTGGTGGTAAGATTGGGAAGTAAAATATTCTTATCCTATGATTCTTAAATATAATAATCTTATGCTAGGTCATATGTTTACTTGTGCCAAGCCCCATAAAACGTCTTAGTGCAGAATAAAATGATCTGATGTGAAGTCTGTTCATCTTATGGTTATGAAACTTTACTCGCTTTGTTCAATCATTCTTTTATTAATTGCTGAATTGTGCTTTTGTATGCAGCGGATCAAAATGCAACACTTGTGGAACTTGTAGATGCAATCCCCAGAATAATAAAGTGGATAAAATGCTTCAGAAATTCAGAGGTACGGAAGCATATCATGATATAACTCTTAACTATTTAAGATGAAATAATGTAGCCGTCTCCATGTAAAAGCTTTCATTCCTGTTTTTTCCTTGTTATGAGTGGTAAGCTATTTGAGGCAGTCACAAATTTGAATAATCCTTTTTTGTTGTCGTGTCTGTTTACATCAACCGAGCTTACATGTCAGTACTGACCCTATAGAATCCAAGGTTGACTCCGTTGAGTGCAACACCAACAAAGATAAATTGACATTGTTTCACATGACTAGCCCAACATTGACTTGATTCTATTACCAATGCGGCTAAAGAGGCCATCCAAATTTCTCTCTCTCTCTCTCTCTCTCTCTCTTTATATATATAGATATATGAGAATATAAAAGATGAGAAGAAATCTAAAATATATATTTTTCTTCAAGAAAAATTGAAGTGTGGGTAGTTTCTTACCCTTTGTTTCCTAAAATTGGGGGCATTGGTTTACCCCTCTTTATAGAAAGTCGGCTCATCTGCTCTCTACTTTTTACCTTCCCCTTCTTGTATTCAAGCTGCACGAGCTTGTAATCATTATTATCTTTCCCGTTTCAGTGACTATTTATTCCAGCTGTACGAGCTTGTAATCATTATTATCTCTCTCATTGGCTATTTTTTTCTTTCTTTTCTTACTCTTAATCTCTTTCAAATTTCTCTTGTGTGCAAGCCACCGTCTTTGCGTCCTTGCATAATATATATAAAGCAATCCAGTTGCCTTGCATGCTTCTACACATGTTCTTTTATTTGTTTGACTCCAATGTGAATATTTTGTTATGCTATCTTGTCTTTTATCTGTTTAGGAAAATCGCCTTAATGCCCTTGCATGCATTTCTTTTCATGGTGGACGTTAATGTCTTGTTTAGGTGCCTGCACATATCCCCCTTATATATATTTCTTGATGTGGCAGGGGGGTAGATTTTGGTTATGGTGCTCTGCATAGCCATCATACATTTCTAGCTTGTCGCGGGAAGGCTTAATAGATTTGATGGTGTCTTTGTTGAGGGTGCTATGGAAGTGTTACTGAAACATACCAAACAAAAGTTTAAAAGTTGTTTATTTGACTAAAATAATACGAAAAAAAATAAAAGTAATGATCTAATAGCGTAAGGTTGAGATAATAAAAACACTAAAATTTTTGTACATGTCACCTAAAAGAGTGAAAATAAGTCCAAAAGGACATACATGAGATCTAGTGCTTGCGAACAAGTGTGTAAAAATTTGTCTCTCTCCTCGGTCAATGAACACATTGAGATGAGAAAATGACATGCAAGGTTTGGTATTGATGTGAACAAAACATGACCAAGATAACCTCTTTTTAAAATAATGCTGAAAGGTTTAAGTCGCTACATATTGTTAGAGGCATGCATTATTTGGTTAAATTTGAATAATCAAACAAAACTTTATTTTTAAAAATTCTTTGGTTTGACTTATATAGTAGTTATTTTTTTATTGGTTTAAGTTTAAGAATTGCTTAGTTATGGTTATTGGATCTATTTTCATCTAATTAAAATAGATCAAATCATAAAATCGACATTTATCTTTTTATCGCCTGGTTTTTGGAATAGGCGGTATCCAAAAACAATTATGTTTCACATTTTTATTTATCGCAAGAGTCAACCACCTTATTAAAAGAGGATTCATATAATGCAAAACTGAGAAATCATTGTTTCCTAGGATTTCAAGGTTTTAATAATGGTTTGAGGGAAGAATGCCCTAAGCTGCCTTGAAGTACGTAAATTGAAAACTATAGGCAAGGTACCTTTGAATTTCTTAGCGCAGCATTCATCATTTCTTCCTTTGACGCTTCAATGGATAATCATCTTACCATAGAAATTCCTTGCTCGGTTGGTGCATTGCAGTGGTTTGAATCTTTGTTATATACTGCAAGGTTTAGGCTTGCTTACTTAAGGCCATGTCCTAAGATTCCTTCAATTTGCTAGATTCACATTGGTTTGAAACACATCTTTTATAGTTTTACTTGTTGCGAAGGTATTTCTCATAGTTCATGGTTTGAATGCGTAAAGTCTGTTTGGGGAAACTGCAGTTTATTTATTTCTCAATTTTTCAGCTGCAGCTGCGCTGTTCCAGAAAATTACTTGCGGGGAAGTTAACTGTCTGTTTGTTGCAATTGTGTGAAAACATGTATAAGTCAGCCGTTTCTGAATAAATGATCATTCTAACTCTATTTAGTAAAGTTGTTTAAAACATGATTGTGACAACCATATATTTGATGCATCTGAAACAAAAATTCATTTCAAAACAAAACAAAAGTTCAGATACACACCTCACTTAATAGTGGACACCGAAAGTGCTAAAGAAAAAGAGAAAAAACTAATAAAATTACAAGTAAAATAACGATAATATTATTTTTGACATGAAACCGGTGTATGTCTTGTCTTAAACTGTCCTCCGAAGATGCTATCAATTCGCGATCACTTTCGACAGTTGAATCGACCTTAATCGTAAGCCCATCGGAATAAGTCACACTTTTCTGCGAGGCTCCGCAGACATCTATAGAAGTATCGACCGTAGCTATGTGGCTGACGTGACTTAAAAAAAAAAGTCTCTAGTCCGCAATGACATGACAATCTTCGGACGTCCTTGAAATTTTGGAACTCATCTTTCCTCAAAACTGCCAGATAGAAACCATTAGTTTTTTTTTTTAAGATAAAAACTATCAGAGAAAAGAAGAAAATAAAAAGAGAAATATATCAAAACTGGCCAACACTAACTACCAGTGAAACCACACAATAATTCAATCACCATCCGACTAACACATCAGTGATTTGTTTCTTAAAGACCGTTATTTCATTTGCACCTTCCCCTTTTTCTTACAAATAATAGAATGATCTCTCATCTCGTGGCAGAGAATATCCAAGGTGATACTCGAATGTTTCTGCAGGTATTTGCTGTTGATCCTCTTCGGCATTGCGGAAGTCAATATCACTTCGAGATGGATGCAACATAATGTAATTATGCAGTGTCTCGTGACTATCACAATCTCGATCTGTTTGGAAAACGGGTAAGATGACATCTCGCGTAGTATCACCAATTTTTTTTTTCTAAACGCCGAAAGTGCTCTAGATTATATCTCGTAACGAGGGATATTTTCTGTTGAAGACCTATTTTCTGTCACGTGTAACATTGTCGACTCGCTCGAAATCAGGTATATGATATTTCATATCAGAAAATGGTTTCAGATACTCCCTGCAATGAATAGCCAACATCGATCAAATAACTTTTGTCTGAAATGTACTGCAAGTTAAATACGATGTTTAAAGTGAATACTTAAAGGATTTGGAGCTGTAACATACTGTGCAGAGGGTGTGAGAAGTTGTAGTGATGATTCTGCGTAATAGCCTTAAAAATTCTGTTGTCGTGCACACTACATTCTCAATCGGGCATATGACGAAGGTGAATCACATGTTAAAGTCACACAAAATCATGATATTCTACGTAAGGACTCCACAACGTTTGATAAATGCTATCTTTTCCTCATTTTTAACTCTTGTATAAACGTGAGTATCATCTATTGCTTCAATGCAATTCTACATGGATACGTTTGAGTTATTAATGTATGATATTCATATTTAAAATTAAGTATTGGAAATTGCAAATGTTATTTTAAAGAATGACATGTAATGTGCATCGCGTTCGTGCGATCCTTGGATCGGTTGGTTTATTGACTTTTATAGATAGACTCACAAATGCATTCAAACCCACAGAGTAGTATTTGTTAATCGTCTCAGATGAGTGTTAGAATTGTTCTGTCGCATTACGGATTGACTCGTTTTGTGATAATATTTAGAGAGTTATCGTCAACACCTCATGTTGAGTCGTCTTCGATGACCCATGAAGACCATGAGATCCGCCAAGTTTTGCTAGAAGTTCTGTAAATACCTTTTGTCTCATGCGGAACATGTTGTTGAAGCTGGTTGGAAGCCTAGTAAGTAATTCCCCAACTGATTTATCTTTGATATAAGACGATGTGAAACATGGTGAGGGATCAATGTACATGTTATAATTCTCAACGATCAAGGGAATTGTTACATTTCTCCGTCTCCATTTTTCTTTTTTTGAATCTATGTTGGTGTATATTGTACTAGTGTTAAAATAAAAAAATGGAATTAATAAATCACAAAAAAACATGCCCTAAGCTTTTATAAAATATAAAAATGACGACTTACGAATATCAAATAAACACGTCACAATAAAATACAATAATGAAGTAAAAGTGTCCCAAACAACAATCTTCATTCTCATTAATTTGCTGCGAGCAGCAGCGAACTCGAACGTGGGGTCACTGCGTTTCCGAGCTAAGATTTACCTTCTTTTGACACTTTGACTTCGTTATTGTATTTTCTTGTGACATGCTTATTTGATAGTCGTAAGCCGTTATTTTTATCTATTATAAATGCTTGGATCATGTTTTTTCCTGATTTCTTAATTATATTTTTGTATTAACACTAATATAATATACATCAACATGAGTTCAGACCAAGAAAGACAGAGACATATGAATGTAACATTTTCTTTGATCGTTGAGTATTACAACACGTTTATTGACCGCTCTCAATGTTTTACATCGTCTTATATCAGAGATGAATGTGTTGGGGAATTGCTTGTTAAGCATCCAACCCATGAGATCAGAGGTATTTACAGATTTTCTAGCAAAACTTAGTGGAACTCATAGTATTCATGGGTCATTGAGGATGGCTCAACGTGAGGTGTTGGCAACAACTTTCTACATATTATCACAAAATGAGTCAATGCGTGGTGCGATGAAATGATTCCAACACTCGTCTAAGACGATCAACAGACACTTCTCTGTGGGTCTGAATGCACTCATGAGCTTATCTACACAAGTCATAAAACCAACCGATCACACGTTCTCTCGAACTCCTACTGAGATTCAACGCGATGCACGTTACATGCTGTTTTTTAATATAACATTTGCAATTTCTAGTATTCAATT